GAGAGAGAGAGAGAAAGTAGCCAGGGAGCGAGGGAGAGAGAGAGAGAGAATGTAGCCAGCCAGAGAGGGAGAGATTTTAGCCGAAAAAGCCCAAATAAATAATTGTAAATAAATGAAGATAATTCATTCCTTCATGAAGCCCGTAAGCGTCTGTGTGGCGTATATTCTAAATGCAGAGCTTCCAGTGAACTTTCTAATGCTTACTGCACCATCATCAGGCTGTCACCACCGATCTTCTCCTAAGGAGCCCGTCTAATGAGGGTTTTCTGTCTGTGCAATCACGACTGGTGTTTTGTCATCACTTATTTAGCTAATATACCCGAAATAGAATACCTGATATTCAAACCGATGAAGTTAGTCCAAGAGAAGATGTAGTCTCCACTGAACACCATCCCAATGTACGTCACCAAAACATTCTGAAAATGAACAAAGTATGAATTAAACTAAGTTCTTTCTTCTTCTTCTTTTAGTGCATTCAGTTATTAATCCACAGCTTACCTTGATGCAGCCTACGATCGTAGTCGTTAATGCAGAGTTGTATTGTGTACAGAGCACAGTGGAATACATCAGAACAAACCTGCAAAACAACCACGTCATCATATTAATAAGCACGACTCATGTTCAAGCACCAAGTCAAGGTTTCACAATGTTAACGCAACGTGGCAGACAAAGGCTCATTGTGAGCTTCACACTGCTCAAGTCAAGGCCCAGAATCTAGACTTCCCTGATAGAATAATGACAAATATCTGTTACTATCCAGATGTTCAACGCTGGCACTAAACACGATCCGTGTGCATGCAAACACGTCACAAATAAGCCTAGGCTCGTATTCTTACCCCATGATGCAAGAGAGGATGAACAGGGTGAGGAAAAACTTATCTGACCATCCGTCATATTCCACCGCCTGAGAAGAGAAGCACAAACACACAAAGCATATAATAAGAGTGGATATGGGGGCAATTATGCATTTACAATCATTTCAGTTCAAAATATTCAGTTATTTAGTAAAAAAAGTAAAGTAATTCCTTATGGAACTAACATTAACATACTTACAAATTCCACACAGAGTGTGTAAAAGCTTTAAAAGGGTAGCAGTGTGAGGTGTTTGGGCTGTGGGCGCTTCTGTAATAACTCCACTAGGAGCATAATAGCAGCTTTGTGCCTCTCTGGCTGCTGGGCCCCAGCTGGGCAAACCAGAAGGTCTCTGCCAACAATGACCAACTAACAGGCCGCCCATGTTAAGGCACACAGCCAATGCAGACACACATGTGCACTCACTTCAACTAGTAAATAACTGATCAGCACAAAGAAGGTTCATGGTTTCAACACAAATCTTCCATGAATTTAGGATGTTTGGAGGTTTCATGGAATTAAATGAGAAATAGAGCTTAAAGAGACGTCAAACTACTCACCTTCTGCATATCTCCCGTCACGTGAGCCAACAGCACAGTGGGAACGATCATAAATAATGCATTATAATACAGCAATCCATATTTCCCCAACTCCTGTGAGAGAGAGAGAGAGCATAGAGAAACAGATGGGCAGGGACGTAAAAATAATACACGGAGCCAGAACAGAACAGAGAGGGTTATTCACAAATCCTCCAGAGCATTCCTCACTAACTAGCATGCAGATGTCATGCAGCATGGCCGGCCCGCTGCACCACCTAGAACCGACCGGTTCTCTGTTTTACGTGGCTCCGTCTTTCACTGCCTCACAATATCTCTCTCACTCACACTCACACACACACACACACACACACACACACACACACACACACACACACGTCTTGTGCCACATTAGCAGATGGTGCCCTGCAGACATCACAGACTAAAATTGGATCCAGTTCCGCGTCTGCTGTAACGTGAGAGCAGAGCTGCTCATGTGACGTAGAAAATGAGTAAAACGAGCTACAAGACGTTTCTGATTCAACGGGCAAACTGCCATTAAGCTTACAGTTAAAACAAAAACAAGATATAAAACAGTGATAATCAAATCAACTTAGTGGGGGATGAGAAGAAGCGGCTCGTGGGTGTTTGCGAACACAGGGCACCTTTAAGCCAGACATTTAAGGACAGTTGAGGTTCTCTACATTCACCAACGCTCAAGCTCAATGCCAAAAACAGCACCGGGCCCCGACAATGGTCACCATTCATCAGACGGCGCTGCCACAAACCTTGGCGTCTAATTTTTGTTTCACGTAGGCTCCGTTGGCTGCAGTCAGCACGTCGTTCAGGAGGATGAACACGTAACCTTGCAGGTCGAACGACAAGTCCGCACTACGGACAAGAGATGAGAGGATCAGAAAGTGTAGGGGAAGTAAATAAGAGTTCTGTCAGTAAGGACTCGGCCCGTGGCATGTTTAGTGTCCGCGGGGCTCCTTTAACTACAGATATACAATATGTGTGTAATGACCCTTAAGTCAACATCACTTAGGTGAGTACGTAAATCAGGGCAGCACGACCCTTTGTAGTGAAGGGAAGTCTTGTGTGGTTAACAGCAGAGACACCTGGATGCAGCAGGACTCACCTTGCGGCTATGAACGCCCCGAGGATCATTGTAAATACTGTCAGCTGGACGGGCCTGGAGAATGTCTTCCTGCCAAAAGGTCAAAGACAGCAGAGCAATGAAATTCTATCCGGCAGCCAATCAAAAGCCTCCTGTACAGTGCAAAGAGGAGGGGCTCGGTGTCCTGCTGAGTAAGAAAAGGAACCAGTGAATGCAAATGGGTCATCGGTCATGAGTGTTTGCCTTCTTACTTGAGCAGAATTCCCTCAGCCAGCATCGTGAACAAGATGGAGAACCTCCGGAGGACGGTAAACATCGGCAGGCTGGTGGAAGAGGACACAAACTGCTTTAACTCGGCCAAACATCAACAGCCACAGTGATGTCTCATTGAGTCAGTTTTAACCCTTTAACTTGGATCCTTAACGTCCAACACAAGAAAAAGACTGGGTGACATTAGATCTTCTCCTTTCAGTCAGGAGGTACAGGTTTCCCAGAGTGAAACGCGATAGATTTAAATTCTCCTTTGTCCCTAGTGCAATAAACATGCTTTATTTGCACAAAAGGTAATTGTTACCTTGCACATTTTGCTCACACTTAGCACTTTAACTTATCCAATAGTACCTTTTAGTATTCACAATGTTTTACATCCTTTTCTAGACTTTATTGTTGTACAGCAGGGATTGACAGTAAGGGTTTCCAGGTTGCCATTGGCCAACATTTTGAGTAATTGGTAACCAACTCTTGGCCTTTGGTTGTCATCAGTGGCAACCACATTTTAACATAAAGCAAATAGGGACAGCAAACAGCACAACCCATAATACATACATTTCTAATAAAACAAATGCTGTTAACAGTCATAACCAGTTGGTGCGTTAACTCGTGCACAGGCATCTGTTTTAGAGAAAATGGCGAAACAAACTAAGTTGTTTGACTGTGAAAATATGTGACACATCCAATTCACCAGCTCAACGTAGCACAACCTACAGAACCACGAGGCTAGAGGGGCACGAAGCACAACCTCAAGGACAGAACACAGTGAAGGCTGCAGGAGCCGGCACACCCACTGACTACGGTTTTCCATTATCAAGCTGACTCATAACTGCAAAGTATCTTAAACACTCAAACTATAAGTCGACTATAAATGGCAACCATATGTTGCCAGCCTGGCAAACCATTTTTAAAAGTTAGTGTTGAGCCTCGTACGGTTGTACAGTCGATGAGTGTGTTTACGTGGACATGAATAACCCTTTTATGGAGCCTTATGTTCTGATCATAGACGGGTTATTCATGTGCATTTAAAAAGCACTCTGTGTTTATCTGCGCTCTGCTGCAAGCCGAGCTTCCACCAGGACGGAAAATAAAGAACCCAACGAGCTCATAACGACATTTAAATAACTTCCCTTTAACAGTCATAAGAAAAGGTTTAGAGAGGAGGACTCACTTCAGCCTTTTGGTTCCAAACAGACCCGTGATTTGATTTCCCACATAGAGGAGAGGCAGAGGGAACGTCTGTAAGAACAAAGGAAACATACACGAGTAAATGGTGAAGGGGAAGTCATTTCTTTATTGATTGATGGAGGAATAGGTGGACTCGCTCACCTTGCGAGGTATGGTCTCATCGCAGTCTGGGAAGGTGATCACCCTCGAAGCCTTGCCCACCCACAGCACGACCACTGTGGCCAACATCTGCACACATATTCAAAGAGGAAAAGAGATAGATAAAGATAAGTTAAGTAAGATAATCCTTTACTAGGGACATTTACAGGATTACAGCAGCATAGTGGATAGTGCAAACAAGAGACATAGTAAAAAAAACAAGATCAAAACAAGTATTATAAATAAGTAATAAAACAGTAAATAATATTAAATAAGTAAAAAAGTAAAAAATCCACAATAAATAAAATATTTACCTGCTTTCAGGTAGTGATGTTTGTTTGTAAAAAAGAATTAAGAAAACAGTGCAGGAAAAGCATTTTATATATATA